AAACAACCACAAAAGCAACCACAAAAACTACAACAATGGAACCAACATCCACAACACAGACAACAACCACTACCAAAACGACCATAACTACGATTACGACTACTGTCACAACAACAAAACCTATAACGACAACTACTACCACAACAACAACTATTATTACCACAACAACAACGACGACTACTACCACAACAACGACTGCTACTAAAACTACAACTTCAACAACTACGACTACGACTACAACTACGACAACAACCACTACAACAACTACAACTACTACGACAACCACAACAACCACTACAGACACAACCACAACCACAACCACAACTACAACTACAACAACAACAACAACTACAACTACGGTTACTGCGACAACAACAACTACAACTACAACAACTTCCACAACTACCACTACAGACACAACCACAACCACAACTACAACTACAACAACAACAACTACAACTACAATAACTACAACAACAACAACTACAACTACAACTACAACAACTTCCACAACTACCACTGCAGACACAACCACAACCACAACTACAACTACAACTACAACTACAACAACTACAACAACAACAACTACAACTACAACAACTTCCACAACTACCACTGCAGACACAACCACAACAACAACCATAACAACAACTACTACAGAAACAACAACCACAACAACCACTACAGACACAACCACAACAACAACTACAACAACTACAACAACAACAACAACTACCACTACAGACACAACCACAACAACAACTACTACTGAAACAACTACAACAACTACCACTACAACAACAACAACTACAACAACAACAACAACATCAACTACAACGACCACCACTACAACTACAACAACAACCACAACTACAACAAGTACAACATCAACTACAACATCAACTACAACGACCACCACTACAACTACAACCACAACTACAACATCAACAACAACAACAGGTGAGTAGTTTATAAAGTGTTTTGTAGTTGCCTGGGGAATAGTAATGATTTCATTCAACTATACCGAGACGTTTCAGTTCGGGCTGTGAAATATCGCTCATCTGTATAAATAACTTTACAGAGCATGTTCTATTTGGCTCAGAAGAATGGGATATTTTTCTGGGTATTTCAAGTAGAGTGCGCGAAGCCTTGATCAGACACAATCCCTCCAGTTTCGTGTGACGTTACTATAAGATTATTTCATTTTTAAAATTGCAGATATTAACATGATAGACGTTAGCGGTCACTTCAGTTATTCATGATAACATCGCTAAAAGTAATTACGATCATGAGTGAATGAAGGTAGAAAACTGTCGCTAGTTGTTTCAGAGGAATATAGATTTAAGATGGATATGTGAATCAAGGATGTCAGAAAGTATTTTGTGGCTTAGAATTATCAATGGAATAAATAAATATTGTTTTAATCTACAAATAAGTTATGAGGATAAAAGTACAGTAAATATGGACCAAGTGATAACAGCTGTGTGATTATATTGGCGATGTTCGAATAATACAAAACAGTCGTGGTTGTAAAAATAGTCTAAGAGATACTCCGTTTACTTAGTAGACTCAAAAAAGTTATTCTCTTTCTCGTAGAGAAGAGTCCAGCAAAAATAAATTGTTTGCTTGCTTGCTTGATTGATTGTATGTCCGCAGGCTAAAAAAAACATCGAATGCCGATTTTGAGGAAAACACATTTCTAAAGGTAACTTAATGCGAGAACTTCGAATCTGAGGTCTGTTGGGTGACTGTGAGTGGGAGTGGGTGAGAGGTCAAAGAAACATCGAAAAGTGATTTTTCGTGATTTTCAATTGTTTTTCCAATAAATGTGAAGAGGGTGCATTTCTGCGAGGAAGAGCTAAGCGAGTCCTCGGAGGAGCGTTACTTGTGGTTTATGAACTAGAATGTCTGAGAGGTGAAATATGTAGTGATCGATTTCAAAGAGTTGTATATAGAACATTATTTGTAACATAGACATTTAATACAAGTAAACTCTTGATAATAGTTTAATTCAAGAGCAGCCATAACATTTATAGCGATCTAATCTTCGAAAGTTCAACAACTAATTGTAGCCAGAATTAGATGCAATCATGCGAAATGACGAACAGCATCGTCTAAACTCAATTCTGATTAAGTCTTCGAAGATGTTTGCTTCGAGAATGACATCAATAATAGTTGTCAGT